ATATAGTNTATATATATATATATAGTAATAATATATATATATATATATTATTATTATTATTATTATTATTATATATATATATATATATATATATGGTATATATATATATATGTAATTTATTTCTTTTCGTACCTTTTATTACTTCTTCAGGGCCCTACTTCACCCATCCAACGCAACTCGGGGCACCTTTGCCATCAACTACAAGGTGTGTGATTACAGTGGAAGTAAGGTATGGCAATACATAAGTAATGTATGATTTTATTAATGTACAAGTAAGGTATGGTTATATTTATATAGTATGATATTATTACAGTACAAGTAAGGTATGTTATTACAGCTGTATATTTTGATATTCTTACAGTACAAGTAAGGTATGGTTATATATATATAGTATGATATTATTATAGTACAAGAAAGGTATGTTATTATAGATGTATAATTTGATATTCTTACAGTACAAGTAAGGTATGGTTATATATATATAGTATGATATTATTACAGTCCAAGTAAGGTATGGTACTATATATATATATTATGATATTCTTACAGTACAAGTAAGGTACGGTATTACATATGTATATCATAATATTATTACAGTACAAGTAATGTTTAATATTACAGATGTGTAATACGATATTCTTACCGTACAAGTAAGGTATAGTTTTATATGTATATCATGATATTATTGCAGTACAAGTAAGGTATAATATTACAGATGTATAGTATGATATTCTTACAGTACAAGTACGGTGTGATGATAGTATCACAGTCCAAACAGGGTTTCTTTGCCATGACTACTACATATGGATCTACCCTATAAATACACATCCGCTACTTATATGTACTCAAACACAAAGCACAAGCTACGCCCGTTGAGTCGGAGGTATACTTTTGCTACCTACAAGCTACACCCAATGCAACACGTGTAGACACAGGAATACCTACTAAACCCTAAAACCCTAACCGCAGACTATTCGTGCGCATGGCAAATGGAAACCGAACGTTCACATCTCAACCGCCCCTCGCTAGCGTCTATTGTCACCCTTTTGACACTAGACTGACACTGTTTCGACACTGTTTTTCCATTCTTCTGGACACATTTGGACAATGTTTACTGACATGTTTCTGACACTCACTCCCTGGCCACTCACTCACTCCCTCACTCACCCCGTGTAGACCATTCTGCAGCCGAGCATGGACATGGGCCATCAAACCAAAAGAACTTCAGCCGCGAAGAAGAAACAGACCTCATGGGGCGATGCGGTGGTAGCACCCACAGCCCAACAGACCGCTCCCACACAGCTGAAGGGCTGGGGCCTTTCCTATTGGTGGGTATTTATAGACGTAGTAGTCATATATATAGAACACGCCATGGTCACTCGGGCTGTTTATGAACTCGTCGGATCACGTTGACAGTGTACACGCCGAGGAGCTGGATGGCACTGTGACGTGTGTTGGCAAAAACTATAGCTCAAACTACTAACCTTTCTGTCTGGTCATGTACACTCGCAGGTGGCTACTCACCTCACGTATGCATTCATACACCATCACACGTACGTATGAGTCACTGTGCACGTGTACACGCGTAGATACACTCGGACAAGTGTATTCACAGAGCATAGGAATTACATCTGGATTACTTTAAACATTTACTCTCCTATGTGGGATCATAAACCACAACACATAGGTCTAAACCACAACACACAGGTTTAAACCACAGCACATAGAACCACAACACAGGTTTAATCGCCTTGTTTGACCATATAAACCCACCGGTCGTCTCAGGCATATGCATTCATAAACCACAACACATAGTTCTAAACGTAGCTCACTACGGTGTATATTGTGCTGCCTGTTTCAAGTCTATAGCACTTTCATGGACCAAGCACGCTCGCAGGTACACACAGGCATGTGTAAGCATACAACATAACGCATAGTCTCAGCCACTTTGTGCTACCATGTACACATCTAAACCCTAAACCCTACCCCATCCGCAGGTGCTTCTCTCCGCGCTATGCGATGAACGATCTCAAGCGCAACGGCGTACGTAACGTCATCATCACAAGCGGAACACTCTCACCGATGAGAGAATTCGCCTCAGAGATGGCTCTGTAGGTGGCATGTGGGTGATTGTATTTGATGTGTGAGTATGTAGCATGTCTGTCTCTGTAGGTGGTATGTGTGTGATTGTATGGTGTTTGTAGATATAGATGGGTGTGTATGTGGCATGTGGGTGATTGTATATTGTTTTCTAGTTCTGGATGTGTGTGATTGTATGATGTTTGTAGATATAGAGGGGTGTGTATGTGGCATGGGTAGGATTGTATGATATTTGTAGATATAGCTGAGTGTGTATGTGGCATGTTTGTGGTCACATGAAGGACACTCATACACCTGCGCAAAAAAACCCTAAAAGGACCAGGCATACTTTTATCATTCAACCACATACACCTCTACATGTATATAGCCTTATCTCTACTCATATATATACCTATATCTA